ATGCGCGTGATTTTGGAACAATGGCAATGTTGTAAACATAGGAATGCATAGAAATGCATGCTAGGAACTCTGGTAATCTTGTGAACACAGGAAAACGTGATAGATAACACAAAAATATTTAAGAACTTCTAGGTTAATTTGAGAAAAATACACAGAGCATCTCTGTGTTTTGCTCCCATGCACATGAAATAAAAACTTCTTTTAACTTCTGAGACGGACTCCTGAAACCGAAATGGAGAAAAATGCAAGCTTGCGGATTGCTAAAGCAGGTAAGCCCCACACTACTTGAAGAATTTTGTTTACCGTTGGCAGAAGAGCTTAACCGCATTATGTGTGGAGAAAAGGCTGCTGAACAGCTTGACCTGCTGCCCCCTCCGAAAGACACTGTCACTCATAGAATTATTGATATGGCGGATAATGTCAAAAGTACGCTGACAGAGTGCGTTAAGATGAGCAGATGCTTTTCACTGCAATTAGATGAGTCTGTAGATGCCATTGATTTGGTCAATTTGCTAGTTTACGTTAGATACGAGTTTGAGGGTACATCCCATGAGGACTTTCTGTTCTGAAAGCCGCTACCAACAGGAACTATAGGAGAGCACATATTTCAGCTTCTGAATGAATTTATCGAAGAGAATGTCATCAACTGGATAAAATTCATCTGAGTTTGTACAGATGGTGCTAGAGCAATAACAGGTAGACACAGCAGTGTAGTTGCACGAATTAGAGAGGTTGCTCCAGATATGAAGTGCAGCATCCACCGCGAGGCCTTGGCCGTCAAGAAAATGCCCGATGATTTAAAATCTGTTAGACTCTTGAGAATTGTATCAAGGCCCGACCAATGAATTCACATATGCTTTACTTGACTACACAGGCTCACCCCTCTCACTGAAATGGTGCTTTTTTATTGTTTATTTTTAATTTTTGTTGTTCCTGTTTTTTTTCTGTAAAGCGCTTTGAGAAGCCACATTTAAAGTGCTATATCAAATAAAGTTTATTATAATATTTATTATATGTGTGTGAGAGTGTGTGCGCACGCGCACTCATGTTGGTCATTGAGATTTTCTGGGGTTCCTATGAGAAGATGACTTGTAGGTGGTACTTGGATGCTTTGGTTTGATCAGCGGTGGTACTTGGTCCAAAAAGTTTGAGAACCACCGGGTTAGACCATTGCTGGTGGACAGGAAAACCATGGCTTTAAAGGTAAAACATAACATACTACATTAAGTCTCACAATGATTGTCATGGTAAAAGTGATGAATCACACTACTTGGTGTATAAGTTCAAGGAGCTGGCTGCGTCAGCATGCGTAGACTTCCAAGGAACAGGTAAATGTTTATTCCATGCTGAAAAGAGAAGAAAAGAAACAATGTTTCGGCTGTGCAGCCTTTTTAGGTGTGAAGAAGGCTATAGAATGCTCCACAGCTGAAACGCAGTGTCTCTTTTCTTTTCAGCATGGAATAAACCTTTACATGTTGTATAAATGTTTCCTATTTTTTTTAAAACAGAGTACTATAAGAATATCGTGCATTAGATAATGATTGATTCAGAAAAATATTCCATTGGTGTAGCTCACTCACTTTGTTTTCGTCACAAATAAAAGATATTAGTTACCTACCCCAAATTACAAAAGAAATGCTGTGATACATTTAACAAACATAAGGAATCATGCAAATGCTCACTTTGAAAAATAAAATTGGATGTGGCCAAGAATATATCGTTCTCATCCTTAGAAGAAAGCTGTGTCACACATGTCATATCGATCTTGTGAAAAGTCAAAAAGTGAATTTCCATAATCACATTAATCAGATCCTATTGTTGATACAGATGTTAAACCTGTTGAGAAAAGAATGAAATCCTGTCGTGACTCCAGTTTAATTTAAATTGGTGTTAGTCCACTCTGGCTTCATGGAGTGGCAGCTCATTCAAAAGTGTCTTGTATTAAAAGAAAACTTGAGTAGGTGCAGAAAAAGATTTGGATACACAGCCCTTCATCTTTCAATAAGTTGTTCATACATTACCTCACGGACTACAATTCAAATGTAATCTGCCATTCTGTCATTCTGTTCTTGTGCTCATTTTAGAACATCAATTCTCATACTGAATGTTTTCATTGGCGGTACACAGCAAATAGTACAGAACAAAAGGTCAAGCAAGAATGTCTTAAAACCGTTCAATTCCACATCTGGAACAATGCACTGAGGTAGAATCATATTATCAAAAAAAATACATACCTGTAAACACTGCCTGTAAATTTATAAGAATGTCCAGAGAACATCAACCAGACTGGACATACTGTAGGCACATTGTGTACATTGTGAATTCTAAACTTAATATCAGAAAAAAATGCCAAAAGAATGCCAATAAAATGCAGAGAGGCTTATATTCTGGAATTATTTTAATGCAGTTTACTAAGCAATACAAATGGTGACCTTTCCTTAATACAAAACACTACTGACTAATGAATTTTAGCATAAAATAAGGCTAAATAGAGGTTTTGCCAAACATCAAATCCAGTCCATGGTGCAAAGAGCTAAGAAAAATATGAAGAAAAACCAGGTCACAGGAAAAACATAACTGAAACAGTGGCACTTCAGAAAGAAAAAAAGGAAAATAATTTTTGGCAGGCTTTTCTCCATTGCACTGAATGGAAAGATAACAGTAAAAACAAATGGAAGAGCTGCCTCCTGGGACAGCTCTGCAAAAGGCACTGGGCCTTGAGATCAAAGCAAGGGCTCTGTGAGGTTGCCTAGGCAACAGCTACTCTATTACATGACCTGCCAAGCGCTCAAATGTATTTTGCGCTTACAGTACAGTATGTTTTGTTTTCTCCAAGGAACATTTTAAACTTGATGGAAACATGTCTTTCTTACAGGAAAATACTACCTAGAATAGTATTAGTAAAGGTAAGAGAATAAGGAATGTGGTATGAATTTTATGTTTGTAACACTTAACTTATTTTGCAAAAACCTGACTCTCAGTTTTAGACGTAGCTAAATCAGTTAAAGACCTTAAATTTAAACCCAGAAATATCAGTGCAAATCTTAACAAGCTAGTACACCTACAGTACCACAACTCTAGTTGTATGCAGGCTAAACTCTACTGAAGTATACTAAAAATAAACAAGCCTTTGTACTAACATGCAAAAGCAGATATTTTGGTGCTCAAGTACTGCACTGACTGTAGATTAGCCCAGACTAATCAGGCATCCTTGTTAAGGAGTCCATATTTAAAGAAGATTAATCAATACATAAAAAGCATTTTATGAATTTGTTTCTTTCTTATGAAAAGGCAGAGATCCGAGAAACAACGGATACTCAAAAAATAAATGTACTTTGTTGTATTTACACATTTACATATTTACACAGAGTCTATAGTGTGCTTGTTGTCAAAATCCACTTAACCTAACAATGGTAAAGAAAATAATTGTTCTGCTATTTGACCCACAAAGGACAGAGTGGTAAGTCAACTGAAACACAAAAGGCCTTTTTTCAGAAATAAAATGGGGAAAAGCGATCATTGTTAAGGTTTGCTTTTCTTTTTTTACATTTCAGGCATAACAGCAGATCAATGGGCTCACATTTAAAGAGAATTATAGAATACCTTGGCTTCAGACCTAGTGGCTTTTATAATCCATTATTCTAATATTGTCTTTATCCGCAACTATTCTTATAATGACTGCATTTGACACCGTTTTTTCTCAGAACTATACTACTAAGCAAACAAAGATACAGTACAGTCAGATCAGTACAGCTATTCAAATATACCTGGAAGACACGTTTACAGTAGTTTAGATGGCCTGTTTAATTATTTTGTAAGGGGTTAAAATGGAAAGAATAATTGGTAGTCAATGCTTGAAAAACCGATGCTTAAATTCAAAGTGTTGAAAATCACTGTTTAGGGCACAGAACAAATAAGGCACGGGTATAGAATTAACTGTGATAAGTTAATCAACTGTACTCTGCTATTCAGGTCAAAATCATTGGCATGAGGAAAGCTATAACAAATAAATAAACAATAGAATGAGCAGCTTAATCAGATTACAGTCTTGCAAAACTTTAAGTTGCTTAACAGCTGGAAGTGGCGCTTATTTATTTGGACAACATAAGAAATATTGCTAGAATCTTGCTTTTATCTTCATAGATATTTTATCACAAACTTCTACAGACACCCGTTTGATACTTATTTGTACATCAAACCAAATAGGAAAAAGGTTTTTGTTGTTTTGCGTTGGAGTGAATGAATTCTGTGTAATTCACTCAGCGTTTAAAAGTGTCCCTGGAAAAGTCAAAGCTTATCCAATTTTCAGGTCTAACTGAAACATTGCGTTGCCCATTTTTTCCCCAAAAATTCGAAAACACACAGACCCTCCCATCCAAGAATGTAATAATTCCAGACCAAATGCCAAACCAGGGAATTGCATAACTAAAAGAATCTTGTTTACAGAAAATAAAAGGACCCGATTTGTACAACCCCATTCAGAGCAAATGACACTTGGCAAAATCTTGTAAAACTACACTGGGCTGCAGCACGTGCACTTTTAACCCTACGAGTCCTTACTGCTCACCACAGAGAAAAACAAAAACATTATTGTACTTATAAATTCTAAACCTACCAGCACACATTTCGCAGAATTCCATGCCTTTAACGCCACTTTAAAAACATATACTCTAGATGACGTTGATGAATAATGTGATTCATAACAGCATTCCATTATATTTATCACGACGTATCAGTGTATACATACTCGGAACGAACCTCAAAACAATGTACGACGGTGTAAGAACTCCCTTTATCAGGTCTAATCGGCATCCCTTTAACTTTGCAATATCCCAGATGTATTTCTCCTTTGTATGTCACACAAAATCAACATACTGTACAAACCATTCACAACTTACTACACAACACGTTTCTTCTGTTGTCTTGAAATATAATGCGAGCACTCGACACAGCGTTACTTGCTGTAAGTGCTAAATCTGGGGAAAAAAACGTTATCTTACCCTATCTCGGTAGGCAGACCGACCTCACCTTTTACACTTCAGGAATCTTTACGCCTCGTTTCCCCGCTCCGCCGTCGAGTATTGAATTTAAACCGCACGGACTCCTCTCCTTTCCCCAGCCAGCAGCAATGGTTTAGATACAGGTACAGTACAGCACATATCGTCCTCCCCGTTCAGCCTTCCAGCCACAAACCATAAACCCAAGTCTGATGGCGGGGCGTCACCTAACTGTACATATAAACGATGTACAGTAGTACGGAACTGTCCAAGTAAAATAAAACAGCGGTAATAAGTTTTAAAAGCAGAGGATATGCACAGAAAGAAAGGGGACCGCAGCGCTGTTGTTCCCTCTTCTTCACTGACGTGGAGAGAGGCGGCTCCCCCAGCCCCCGGCTCTGTGTGCAACACAGATGTCTGTCGATTCAGCTAAATGACAGCGGGAGTCTTCCCTCTGAAACCTCACAAAGCATTGCTGCAAAGCACCAGACATGGTTTCTCCTTATCACGAAGGTGCCCCTTTAAACCTGAAGCACTTGCGGCTGCAAGAAGCTACTACTCAAGGTGTTAGCGCCGCTTATCGGTGAAGAATACAATAAAAATGTTTAATATCGAGTATTACAATGAATCGGGAGACTGTCCATTCTTCTGTTTTATGTGGAATATATGTTTTGTTTAATATATGGAAGCGAGTATGTCACTGTTGTTTGACGAAATAAAATGTTCATATGATGTATGCGAAATTCAAAGGGGTTAACAATGAAATAGGGGTTATTTATTTGTAAAGAAAAATTATCTGACAGAAAGTTAACGCAGCTGTGCTGCCTTGGACTGTGGGCATATGAATTTTAACATGGAGACACTATACTCCCCAGAGTTGAGGGACTGGATCTGCCTCACTGCTGAGAAACTGAACGCTTTTAAGACTTAGGCTTCAGAGACACTGGAGCACGACATGAACAACGTGCTGTTAATTAGAACTAAGTGGCAGCAAATGAGAAAGGTCGTGCAAATGTGAAATTTCACAACACTTAATATGTCCTGACTACTTAAATGTTTCATGGTCACCATACCACAGAAAAGATACTAAAAAATGACACAAATATAAAATCTCAATCTACAGTATAATCCTACTACAGATTGCATGCTGGGGACATAAGACAACATAATGGTATTAAATTCAGCACCATTCATGCTCACTGTATATTACAAAATAGAAAAGTACAATGGCAGTACAAGAAATAAATGAAAAAGTTAACTGAAACTCACTGCAAGCCAGAAAGCTACATAAAGTTACTATGGGGAATTATCATAAGATTTCTATTTTAGTTCAGCTGAACTGAAACTAAGTTCAGAAAACAAAAAAAACAGTGCCAGTGAAGACAAATAACAATACTTATTTTACAAACATTTCATATAATGCAATTTGCCAAAGATGGGGAATTATCTTATAGCCCCTTCTATTTATTACTAATGTACAATATTTTAACCAAAAATGGTTTGGATTGCCTTGATGTAGCTTGCCACGCACTTAAAATGTACACCTATCCTCTCATTGAAAGAGATTAGCTATTCCTACTGTTTAGCTCCTCAGTTTTGGGTGTTTCACTAAGTAGCATGTAAGCCAAAATTATACAATTTATACTGGTTTGGTAACAACAATACAGAAACATACTGAAATTAGTCTGTCCTGCTTGCTATGTTGAACTAGGTGAAGGTCACCCAAGATTAATGTGTTTTAAAATCTCTTACATAATAAAAACGTGTATACCATCTGGCATTTTTTTCCATAATTTTTATTCATTCTCAACAATGTTCACATACCATCCCTAATTAAAGAGCATTAAGATTAAGAGAGCAAAAAAAACACCATGAAAAAGGTGGCTTCTCAGAGCGCTTTACAGAATGACAAAAGGAACAGCAAAAATTAAAAATAAACAATAAAAAAGCACCATTTCAGTGAGAGGGGTGAGCCTGTTTAGTCGAGCAAAGCAAATGTGAATTCATTGGTCAAGCCTTGATACAATTCACAACAGAGTCTAACAGATTTTAAATTGTCAGGCATTTTCTTGACGGCCAAGGCCTTGCGTTGGATGTTGCACTTCATATCTGGAGCAACCTCTCTAATTCGTGCAACTACACCGCTGTCTCAGCTTGTCATCGCTCTGGCACTGTCTGTACAAACTCTGATGCAATTTATCCAGCAGATGCCATTCTCTTCGATAAATTCATTCAGAAGCTGAAATATGTGCTCTCCTGTAGTTCCTGTTGGTAGCGGCTTACAGAACAGAAAATCCTCATGGGACATGCCCTCAAACTCGTATAGAACGTAAATGTGCTAATTGGCCAAATCAACGACATTTATAGACTCATCTAATTGCAGTGAAAAGCATCTGCTCATCTTAACACGCTCTATCAGTGTACTTTTGACATCATCCGCCATATCAATAATTCTATGAGTGACTGTGTCTTTCGGAGGGGGCAGCAGGTCAAGCTGTTCAGCAGCTTTTTCTCCACATATAATACGGGTCAGCTCTTTTGCCAACAGTAAACAAAGTTCTTCACAAGTAGTGTGGGGCTTACCTGTCGGGCATCATGAGCCACTCATGAAGGGGGGAGGGGGTACTGTCACGCACCCTCCACAGCTAGAGGACGCTCCTACTCTATTCTGTCCCTAGTTTCCTGTGCTTTGCTTGTCTCTGTCTGGGGCTATATATTTCTGGGTCACGCTTTACTCCTCACTCAGTATTGAGATTTGGATGTCCTGAGACCGGCCTAGCACCAGGTCACCCTACGTCCGTGGCCTGAGGGCATAGGTTTCTATATGGCATTTCCCGAACAGCTGACCCCGGGTTAACCCCCGTCCCACTGCTACGCATAGGGTCTTTTTTCGCTCTCCTGCCATTCCATGGTTTGTCCCTTCCGACATCTGCGACACTGACCTTTCAGCAACAATTCTATCAACTCCACTGGCATATACTCTATATAGTTTAAACAAAGATCTTTTGATCTCGTTCAGAAACTCCTAAGTCTTTCATTGGAAAACATAATAAAAATATCCCTATACCAAAGTGACAATAATAGAAGGTGTTTTCCCAATCCAGTTGATTAAATGTACATTGTTATTGTTATACATACATTATAACTTGTATCACAATTATAAAAGTAATAAATTATCCAGAAGGTGAAAATGTGATGTGGGGGGGAGTGTAACCATTTTAGAAGGCAGACCAAGAACAAAGAGTGTAAACAAATGAATCTCTTTCCCATATACAAGTACATTTACCTCATTTATCTTTGTCAAGTGAGTATGACAAAATGTTTTATTATCTCTGATAAACTTTTCTACATCACTATAAGGAGAAATATCCAAATATCAAGGGGTGCAGGCACAGGGCCTTTGCCAGAACAATTCGAACGGGTGGGTATTTGGTTTTAACCGGGGGGCCAGGTTTGCGTGCCAGTTTGAGACACGTGACTCTAGAGATGATACTTACCTTTCAATGCTACAATATAGGAGGCAAAGTCAAATCTAGTTCAGCAAATACACCAGTATGATGAGAATAGGAAACATTTATTAAAAAATGTCAGCTTAGTACTCCTGTAACAACATCGATAAGAGTGGATATATAGTAACGATTTTTTCTAAGCTGGTCTGCATTAAGGAGAGCAGAAATGTCCTTGTCATTTTTATGTGCATTTCATGCTCCTTTCATACAGCCTTGCGGGTTCCTTTGAAGTGGAGTGTTAATGAAACCCTTTGTCTCTCTCTGCGGCGTGTTTCCAGTCATGGTACCCCCTGTAGGGGTTATGTGCATTTACTTGGACAATTATTAATTGTAGCAGTAAGTCACAAAATTATTCTTTGATGGCTATTAGAAAACCAACCTTGCAGGATAACTCAGCAATGCACACACATGGATACTAATACACAAGAATACATTTATTAATATATAAAATGTGCATATAAACATAACAGATCTTAAGACTGAGGGTTAGCAGAATACAAAAGGTATATATTCAATCACAAAGAGTTACAAACCAAGAAGGACATACTGTACATTCAGTATACCATTCATTTATACCGTTTGGTAAATTAACTTTGATTACAACTTCTACACTAGATACTCAAAAGCAAATACGTCACTCGTAGGAATTAAATTGATATCAACTGGGGTTGAGGTAACAATTGAATTTTCAAGCTGTTATGCAGAATGTTGAAGACTCATCCAATCTGTGTGGATTCAGATCTCCCACGGACACAAGGGGAACAGCGACAGGCTGTTGCTGCAACAAATTGGCATCCTCTGGCCCGGTGCCAGGCAGTGCTGGTCAGGCGTAAGGTGTGGGAGAAGGAGGGAGAGATTCCTGCTGCGATGTGCTGGCAGTGGCTCTCTGAAGACCGACTAGTTAGTCCTGGCTTAACTAGCGAGAGTTTATCCACATGAAAAGTGGATGCAGATGCAAGCAAGTCACACTCTTTATACGGGAAGAAGACCGGTTTTATCCCAATGTAGCACTAGTCCTGAATACTGATATTCAGCTGTCGAAAGTTCCGACCGTAGTTCACTCGTTGATCAGGCGAGCGTTCGCGGTGGGTACCGGGAGTTCACGAGGCTTGCTGCTGGGCTAACCTTGGGTGGATCCTTTGGTTATGCGCGGGGAACCTCCGTTCTCGACTCTTAGAAAAAAGTAAAGTCCTGGCACTCGGACACACTGGTTGTCACGTGATTGTCTGAGATGAGTCTGAGAATGTCCTGGAGGAGCCACCTTCTGGGCCTTGTGCTGCCTGTTTTATCTGGAGGAACTACGGTCATTCATTGGTTAAAAAAGTTTTGCGGGCATTCGAGACCCACATGGGGTTACCCTGCCCTACCAGTTCCTGATTGGCTGATCGAGGTTGAGGATGAGTAACAATGATCTCTGACATTAGGGTTGTAAACAACCTGGGATGAGACTCTCCCAAAGAATCTCCCAGACAGTAAGGTGCCAGAGATGACTATTTATTAGGGTGGCTGGAGAATCTCAGTCTTGGGAGTTGTTCCTTATCAGGAAAGTCTATCAGCTAGAAAAACACCTTAAATCTGAACCGCATGGAATGGCCTCTCTCTCTGTGTCCAGAACCACTAAGATAAGGGAGAGAGAGACTCGCCAGGGAGCAGCAAACTTAATTCCTGTATTATTAATAAGCCTTGCCGCTACACCCCTAACTGTAAAAGTTGAGTCAGTTGCACGGGCACTGTTGAACTTCCTACAGGGACAGCAAAATGCTGCTTCGGATTTGACACTATACTAACTATTAGTTAAGACAGCAAAAATAACATGGCTGAAATTAGCATGAAAACAAGTTAAAGATTTATTCCATGCTGAAAAGAGAAGAAAAGAAACACAATGTTTCAGCTGTGAAGCCTTCTTCGGGTGTGAAGGGGATTTATAATGCAACACACAAGGCGGTTTTGTAGCCAGAAATGCCTCACACCCGAAGAAAGCCTTACAGCAAAACGTTGTGTTTCTTTTCTTCTCT